CCTACTTCGGCTTGCCCGCGCTGAGTCTGGCGGACAGCGTCGCCGACGTAGCCTCGATTGCGGCGCAGACGGACGGGTTCCGCTCCGTCCTTCAAGTTTCCTCTCCCATGCTGCACAAGTGAGTGTGCGCGTTAAAGCACCGCGAGGCCCGGCTGCCTTCACTTGCCTGCAGTCCCCACGTAGAAAGCGTGAAGGACATCTACTTCGCGAAGGACTTCCGCGCCATCGTCTTCACCGGCATTCAGTAAGTCACCCCGCCCCCCACCTCTCGAAACGCTCCAGCAGCCGCTCCTGGCCAGACTCGCAGTCGACTTGCGCGCTGCCGGCGACGCCTTCGAGAAGGCGCTTCGCTTGAGGGACCAGCACATGCTGCCCTCTCTGCTCGTCGTCAGGAACGTCCCCGCTGTGCGCATGGAGAGGTAAGGGGCGACGCAGCTCTGCAGCTCGCTGTGAAGCGCAGCGACTCTTCACTCTGCGCGACCGCCACAGGGATGGGAGCTTGTCGCCTTGCGGCTACGTCACGGTGCGCAAGCACGTAAGTCCAGCTTCCCGCGCTTGCGTAGAAAGGCGCAAACAGGGTGCGGCGGCTCTCTAGAAAGCGTTTCGGTGGATCGTGTCCCTTGCCCCCTCCAACGCAAGAGCCTACGACGTCTTTGACATGGTGGAGGGCCTGGAGCTCGGAGACTGTTCTGGCCTTTTCGTCATCGGCACCTGGTGAGCGGAAACCGCAGCAGGCGGCAAACACCCCGCACTCATGCGCGAGGCAAACTACAGGATTCTGGACTTGCGGACATTTTCAGCCTTGAAAATGCTGTTCCGCTCGGATCTCCGAAACTCAAGAACTACGCCTCCCGAGTATCTGTTCGAAGCCGCCTTCGAGGCCTTCGGAGGCGTTCTGGGCCAGCAAGAGGGCGACGAGGGCTTAGAAGACCCGCTCGAGCTCGGAAGACCTGAAGAGGTTACAGGAAGCACGGCCTTACCTGTCAGTTCGGAAGGAACCCAAGAAAGGGGAACCCCAAGCTCACTCCCCGAGGCGGAACCGTCGGATGAAGAAGAAAGCAATAAACTGCCGGAGCACGCGTGTGATGCTTTGCGCGGCAGTCCACTGAAACAAAGTCTGTCCTTGGAGGACCAGCAGCAGGAACGTTTGGAAGAAGATACGACGCTCTCAGCTGCTTCAATGAAAGCGAATGGGGCAACACAGTCGAGGGTGGGAACATAACTTTTTTCCATATATTCTGATTGTTTGACTAATGTTGGCGTCTTCAGGGGGAACATCCACGACTTAGTGCCGGTTCCTGTTTTCAAGATCGAGAGCATAGTCCTGTCGCACCGAAGCCTTTCTATGAAGACAGTGGAAGCCATGCAGCGATGAAACACGACGAACATATCGATTCCTGCCCAAAAAGAGAACCAGTCAGCATTTTGCAAAATGGAGAAACTGGCTGCCAGCTATCAACCGACGCTTCATACAAGGATCTTTCCGTGCAATTTCCCCAATCAGAACAGTGGCTAGAACGGCCAAAAGATATGCAAGCAGCACCTACCCTTAGCAGGGAAGAGACAAGAGAAGATGACCAGCATACACCAATAGCCGTGAAGGCTGAAAAGGCGGAATGTCTGAGGAACAATAACACGAGCCATCGGTGTTTGACGACGACCACATCCGATGTGCACGACGAATTCGAAACACGGACAAATTCTTTCGGAGATCACAGTGCTGAGAAGCCTGGTACAGATGAGAACAATCATGTCGAAGTCGCTAAGGCCAGAGACGCAGAAACGCCTTCTCTTGAAACATCCGCCGTTGCAAAGGCCACTTTCGATGAAGTCATCGAAAAACAACTGCATAGTTGGATGGCTGTGAACGGCATCAAATATTGCGGTCATAAATCTTCTGCTTTGGTTGAAAGATGTTATCCTTCGCATGAATTTGAGTACTGGGCTGTTGAGGTCAGTTCCAAATTACACTTGAGTAAACGCAACGCTAGGCGATTTCATGATAATAAAGGATCTTTTAGTCACTGCTGACCAAAACTACGAGAGCGATGAGCCAGGGACTCTTAGCTTAAACTGCGGGGATGAAGTTTTCTTGTTGTCAGTCACGGTAAGTTACATGAGCACTGGTTTCTCCTGCATAATTTGTAGCTTCATCATACTTCCATGCTGTTACAGAACACGTCATGGGCGTTTTGCCGCAAAAGCAGTGGAGAATTTGGATACGTACCTACGGTGGCCGTTCCATGTGCTTTTAGGAAGATCTTTAAGCATACGAAAATGTATGCTAGAAATACTGCAAGTGTGGATCGCCTGTGTAAATGGAAGGACGCCACGTACTATCCGGGAGATCCTGTGGTAATTCTAGCAGAGTTTGGGAAATGGTAAGGTGGAACTGTAGATGGATTCATCCCAAGTTTCTCAACATAAGATCTGTAGGGTGTTGGTGCGTGACTACCTGAGACCATTTCGGCAAGCTTACATCCCGAGGGCTCGGTAAGGCAAATAACGCATGAGAAAACTGAACAACAAACAACTAATAACACCTTTTAAGGATAAAGCAATATATGTGAATGGCTGCAAACGGCAAGGAAATCTCTACTGAATCACAACATGCGTCGCGGAAGTGCGCGCATGGATTGCTTGTGTGATGAATTCTTTATTGAAAGCTCTTCCACCGCGCGCAAGTCGCATGCATGGCCATATCAGATTCCACTGTCGCAGTCGATAAGAGCCTAATTCTTCGAAGCGGAAATATATTCGGTATCCGCCAAAACTGTTGAACAGACCCTCATGAACGGTTTTAAATGCTTTGAATACTTGCATATTCGTGATTCACATTCAGTTTGTGGGCACCACCCACGGGAGAGCCGAAATGTATCTAGCATCAAAATGCACATACTCTGTTAGTTAGCATATGCGTCTGTTCTTTAGCCAGTCCGATTCATTGTTGCTCCCCACGCCTTGGCAATGGTTTGCTGTTTCTGCTGTTTTGAAATGCCAGTACGTGGGGAGGGGTTTGAAATTAGCTTGAAAAGGCTGTGCTTGTTCAGCTCTTCATCTGCATGAATGAAACGGAATGCAGGAGTGTAGCCAAGTTCTAAACGCCTCGCCATTTGCATCCTTAAGTGTGGCGCTGCACGGTTCAGTCTCTCTTCCACGTCCTTGGGGTCGTGTCTTGACACCACAGTGAAAAACACATAGCATGTTGACCTGAAAAGGCAGCAGTACTGCAGCGAGGAGTAAGACGTCAAAATCGCGACAAGACAAACGGCAACGGACGGGAAGGCTCGGCTGAAGGCCTGGAAGCTTACGCTCACCTTGTGGTTTGTTGTTCGACATGGTGAATTGAAACCGAAGCCCCCCCCAGCATTCCGTGGAGGACTTCCGCGGAGTTCCACGTAAGGAATTCTTCAAGCTGCGACTGCAGAAGGCGCGCCTGGCGGACAGTTCTGCGGGCCACGTGGAACTTGATGGGGTCGACGATTTGGCCTGCAGAGGCAAGTGGAGCGAACGGCCGATTTGCATTTTGGACTTCGGGCGCCTACTGGCAGATGCCGCGGTCAGAAGTGCGTTGCTTTGCTGCGGAGGTTCCTACCTTGGACATTGGGCAAGGGGGCCTTCATGAGCCTCGCATTTGCGAGTTTCTCCTCCCGCATCTTCGCTCGGATGCGAGAGGCCAGCTCCTGTCTTTCCGCATCGGCTTCCATCCTCACGAGGTGTCGCGCTGCTCTCACGCCGTCGCCCAGGCCCAGCGACTCGATGAGGGCGTCTTCGGTCTAGCGGCGCAGCAGAACAGCCGGCACTTATGCATGCGCGCTATTATACAACAGCAGCAAAGATCGGAAGGAGGCCTCTGCTGCGCGGCTTTCTACATACTTATCACGGAGGGAAAGACTCGAACCCTCGCGGAAGAACTCAACTGAAACCCTCAGCTTCCCACTCTGCTGCTGCTGCTGCTGCTGCTGGTTGTTCTGCTGCTGCTGCTGGCGAGCGCACCTGGTCTTGCGCGTGGGCCTTGAGAATGGCGGCGGCGTCTCTGTCGGGGTCGGGGAGCGCCCTGGACTTGAGCCAACGGACTCTTCGGTCCAGCAGCAGCTTTTGCTGGTAAGCCTCGTGCATGCGCGCGGCCTCTTCGTGGGTCAGTTCGCGGTATTCGCTTTTTCCGCGGAGACACGAATAGTCAAAAAGCCCCGCAGTGGGGTCCTTCTTCTCCGGAAAGTCCATCGAGGGCTCCCCTCTGTCCTCCTCCTCAGCAGCAGCAGCAGCAGCAGCGGCAGCAGCAGCAGCTTCACTCGCCGGCGTCTGCGGCTCCTCCAGGTGGGCTGCAGCAGCAGCTCACGCCCCACAGCAGCGCAGCAGCAGTGGCGGCGCGGCTGCGGGCCCCGGGCTGTGTCTGTGGCACAAATAAGGCCCCTAATTCAACTCTTCGAAAGCGTTTTTCTTTTCTCACTTTTTCTTCTTCTTCGCTGCACCCGACCGGCTGCTGCAGCTTCCCCCGGCAGCGGCGGGTTGAAGGTCCCCGCGGGCGCTTTGTAGCGCCCCAAAAACTCTTTCCAGCCCGTCTCTACGAGGCTTTCCGAGCTGCTGCTGCTGCTGCTGCTGCT